AACTTGCTGAATTGCGGCGCAATGGAACTTTGCCTTGGTTACGCCCAGATTCCAAAACTCAAGTAAGTAATGGTCTGGGTGCCATGTAAAGTCAATGATGAAAAGCAAAACTATTAAAATTAACATTACAGGTAGATATATAAAGGGGGGGAGTAGCTGGCAACCAAATAGAAAAATGAGAGTGTTGTTGTCTTAGGTATATTCAGATTTACTAGTTGATTTGTCTGCTATATGCAGAGTACTCTGGATAGAGGCTAGTGGGAAATGTGTTTGCTTCCTCTCTGGTGTCCTCATGTCTATGTTGTACCTCTTAGGTCACTGTGCAGTATATGCAAGATCGTGGTGCTGTTCTCCCTATAAGGGTCCATACAATTGTGATATCTGTTCAACATGATGAAGATGTATGTGTTGATGAAATGAGGGATGCTCTAAAAGAAAAGGTGATCAAAGCTGTCGTACCTGCAAAATACTTGGATGAAGATACAATTTATCATCTGCAACCTAGTGGCAGATTTGTCATTGGTGGGCCTCAGGTAAGACATTTCTAGGATTTTGTCTGGTCGTTGTATGTTCTCCAACAAGAGATGAGTTCATCAGTATGGGTTCTGTCCTCTTACCAGTTGATTAAGGTCTTTGGGTCTTTATATTTTCTTTGTCAACCAACGGATCTAAAAGAAGCTGTACTTGCAGGGTGATGCTGGTCTAACTGGACGGAAGATCATTGTGGATACCTATGGTGGTTGGGGTGCTCATGGAGGTGGTGCTTTCTCAGGAAAAGATTATACTAAGGTGGACCGTTCAGCTGCTTATGCTGCCCGTTGGGTGGCAAAATCCCTGGTTAAAGGTGGTCTTTGTCGCAGGGTACTTGTTCAGGTATGTATTCTTGCAACTGCGAGTAGGTTTTCCCAGGCCTAATATATCAAGTGGTTACGGGGATTAAAAAATCCACGCTCATCAGGCACTGTATAGAGTGGTATGAGTGACAGTTACTGAACAAACCAGAATTTTGATTACTGATTATTCGATTGTTGTTGCTTCTAGGTTTCTTATGCTATTGGTGTTTCCCATCCATTGTCCATCTCCATTTTCCATTATGGCACCTCTCAGAAGAGTGAAAGAGAGCTCCTGGATATTGTGAAGAAGAACTTTGACCTCCGCCCTGGGGTCATTGTCAGGTAAAGATGGTAATGCATGTCACTAGCCAGAATTAAATGGGGGGGGGGGTGTTTCACACTCTTTAAGCATAAAAACCTATGGTCTAAGTATGGAGACAGATGAGAAAAAACACAAGCAGCCCTTCCATCCTGATAGCTTTTTCTAAGTTGTCATCAATCATAATAGGTTTAAAAGACTATTAAAGGTTAGAGGTTTCCTCTTTTAATTTCCAAAATTGTTACCGATGAAAATCAGTGCAGAACCTGGTTGGCTGACTTGAGCCCAAGAAATCCTGGATTTGAGTTGGAGTTGCTGTGTCCATTTGTAGCTGCCTTCCTCAGCCTTTGGGGGGAACAAGGCTTAATTAAAGAGCAGAAAACCATTAATGCTTCCAGCCAAGTGGAGCGCTGGGATGGCGCCTGTCTGTACCTTAAGGGGGGTGGTAAGTATTGGATTCTCAAATGAGCTTTGACCCTTGAAGTTTCTCAGGATGGTGACAAGCTTTCAGATCTGTTGAGCCAGTGACTGGAACGAGATTTGTAGTTACTTTTAATCTGAAAGCTGGAAAGTAAGTGCCTCTCCTTAACAAGGTGCCAGGAGATTGGACATCAGGGTTGTGATGCTTCTTCCCTACATTTTCTTCTAGCTTTCCCCAGAGAACTGAACTTCTCATTTGCCAGAACTCTTGAAAATGAGTCTTACTAATTATATTGCTTTTATTTAATTGAATGCTACATATTAAGTTATGGACTTGTATATTCCAGGGATCTGGATCTGAAGAAGCCCATTTATCAGAGGACTGCAGCCTATGGCCACTTTGGTAGGGACAGCTTCCCATGGGAAGTGCCCAGAAAGCTTAAATATTGAAAGTGTTAGGCTTTTTTCCCCAGACTTGTTGGCGTAGGTTACAGAGAAGCCTTCAAGCTCTGAGGGAAAGGGCCCTTCTCCCTAAACTTCTCCTGTCCTCTTTCAGCTCTTGATCAGTTGCAGTCACTCTTGTCCAATGATCTGATTTAGTTTTTGTGGGGACTGTAAGTTGGGCTCTGCTATTCTGTCCCTGGTGTTTTGCTCACCGTTACAATGGATTTAGTGAGCATAGGTGATCCATGTAACTGCCTAGAGATAAGCAGACAGCACTGTCTAGTAAATGATGCTTTAAGATTGAACCTTTGTGTCCCACCACCCAACCCCAAAATCTTAACTGCATTGACTCTCCCATCAAATGCTGAAAAATGTCCTTGTAATGTGCACGTCAAGTACTTGTAGTTCCATTTATAGCCTCTATCCAACAATGCCACCGCCCTGTCAGCATGATTTTGTAATGTCTTGAGCTCTATTATGAATGTGAAGCCTTCCCCCATCCTCCCTGTAACCTGACCCACTTCTAATTATGTAGCTTTTTGTCAGGGAGTGTTCCCTACCAGATCAATCTTGCATGTAACGCAAGTTCCAGTTGGAGCTCTAGCCTGACTTCATGAAAAAGGCAGTTACTAGTTGAACCACCTTCTGGTGCTTATGCTCTTAATGACCATCTCTTAACGGCACCAAATCTTAAAATCTCTCCACTTGGCTGTCTTTTGGAGGACGTACGTAATAAGGTTTTTATTTAGTAAACCAATCCTATGCATGGTTTCAGCACTAGCCAAACCTCACCAACTCCTAGCTCTAGTTAAGCGGGCACTTGGCAGCCTTGTGATGTCATACAGAGAAGTCACAGGGCGGTATCTGAGGGTCTGTAGGTTGCACACTTTGGTACCGGTTAACTTTTTCTTTATAAGAAAGACTGAGTATTCCACACTGCACAAGAACTCCTCCCAGGGTTTTTAACTTTGTTTTATTTTCAAAACCAGGTCCAATGAGCTTTCTGAGCAGCTGGTGTAGATACAGAGAAACCAGCTTCCTTCAGAGAGCAATGCTTTTGGCGGGGAGGAGAAGGAAATCCCTTCATACTTGAACATTTTCTAATTGCTTATTTATTGTATTCTGGGGTGTGGCGTGAGTACAGAGAAGCTATCGCCTCAGAGGGCAGCTTTTAAAAAAAAAATCCTTGACACCATGATTCCTTTGACATGTTTCCAGCATTCCCAGGTAGGCCAAGGTGTCCTACAGAAGAACCTTGGGTTACACCTACAAGGGGGTCTGGCTGGTGTTAACAGAAGGGAGGGCAGAGCTGGAGCAGTTGGCCATGAAGGAGGCTGACTTGGCTGGTGTGGTACAGAGAAGCCAGCTTGTTTACATGCCTAGTCCATGGCTGCTGCCCTCAGCAGAAAGTGCCTTTCGGGATCTATTTTTTGGAGGTTTATTACGTATGTCTGGTTCTCAATTCCAACAGTTTAATGAAGATCTAAATAAAATGCTAGGTTCTACCTTACAACTGTGTCCATTCACTGCTGAGAAGATGGGGCATTCTTTGATGCTTAGAAGCAACATTTGGTCTGACTACAGCTGACAGCGCCAAGCTGCCCTGCTTATTTTTTTATCTATAAGTGGACAAACCAGTTAATACCCTGCAGCAAATTCTAGGGAAGGAAGTGGGTGGCTGGTTCCTGTGCTTATTAGGTATTGGAAGAGCTGGGTTCTGTAGAGTCAGGGACGAGATGGTAAGGAGCCTTGGAAGATGGACACGTCTTTATCTGCAAGGTGCATCTCAGACTATGTGAAGAGGAAATTGAGCAAAAGGCCCGCTCAGATACCTCGGACCAAAAGGTAAAGGTGGGAAGCTTTTTACTTGAGATCTGAATATGGCAGTTTGTGTCCTTGTGGAACAGTTCCATATAGCCAAAAAGAACTGTTGTCCTTCTCTCTACCCCTTTAGAAAGAGATGCTAGGGTTAAACTTTTATTATAATGGATAGTTAATTGGGCCTTAGGCATAAAAAAAGGAAAGGTCAACCTGGTAAACCTGAGAGCAAGTATCACATAGTGACTAGTGTGTGAAGATTCTTTGTTCTGTCCATTGGAAACTACAGATAGGCGTAAACCTGTGCACCTGGAGCTACATACAGGTGAGGCACATTATACGAGTACAGGCAAAATCATTGAGACTCCTTTGCTTTTCCTTGCCTTACAACATGGAGGTATGAAATGGCTAGGTCATTCCAAACTGTTAGACCATTAAGGTATATTTGATCTGAATGTTATTGAGGACTTCACAAGAGTCTGAATTGACAGGAAAACTGGGAGGGGGGTTTAAAGTAATTGAACCCCCAGTAACGTTGAAGGCAACTCCCTGAAATGTGGGAATGTCTCAGGAAGAGCTATCCAAGTCTTCATTTTCTTCCACCTCTTCAAGGACCAGCGGAAGCAGAAAGTAACCCCTAAAAGGACAAAGACCCTAGGGCTTGCTTGCTTTTTTTTTTTCTTTTTTCTTTCAGCGAAAGACAAGGTTTATTAAAGATCTGCCATATTAGCCAGACTCTTAAGCAATCTGAGCACCTATGAGCTATTGGCTAGATTATAACAATCTGTGCCTACTTTGGGCATTTTCACTGGCTGCCTCCCATGCCTGGAATGCTTTCTCTCATGTTTTCTTACTGGTTTCCCTTATTTCCTTCAAGTCCCAGATAAAATTCTACCTTCTGCAGGAAGACTTTCCCAATTCTCCTTTATGCTGTGTTTACCGCCCCCTTTCTCTTTTGTGTGACTAGGGAGGGAGAGGCAGGAGAAGGAAGGCCTGTAGCAGCCAGGCGGTCAGAGATAATAGCTGCAGCTGGTTCCTTTAAAACCTGGCTGCTGAAGCTGTGGTAGAGCCCACCCTGCACCACCCCACCACTCTCCCTTAGACCAGGTTTTATCTCTTGATGTGACGGCTTCCTCAGCCAACAGTAGACAAGGGCAAAGACACTGTTCTATTTATCCCTAAATTTTACTGCACATCTGCTTGGCCATACTGGGGAAGACATGCATTTAAGACCCCAGGTCTGCTTTTTGTTAAGGGCAAGAAAGTTCAGACTTTTACAAAGGACTAATGTTTCTGATGGGGCAGGGATGTTGCAGTGGACAGTGAGTGCTGGATTGCTGAGAGTTCTCTGATAAATTCTGATGTTGATACACTGGTTGGGGCACTACATTCCTGGGGAAAATGATAAGAGGAAATAATCAAATTTATATAGTACTTACTATGTACCAGGCTCTGTGCTTGCTATGCGCTTTACAAAATATCCTCACAAGTCCAGGATGTAGGTTTTTTCCCCATTTTTCAGCTGAGGGCACTGGCAGATGGCAGTTGTAACTTGCCCAGTCACACTGCTAGCAAGGCTCTAAGCTGGCTTTGAACTTGGCTGTTCTGACTCCAGACCCAACTCTATCCAGGGCACCTCCTAGCTGTCTCTAGATAGAGAAACAATACCTGTCAGGGCCTCATCCAATCCGCAAGCAAAGGCCGTGGAGAGGCAGTGGTTCAGATTACTGGGAAGCACAACTTGATTTCCATTCCTCCCAAGTGCTAGGTATTTTAACTGCTTTCTAGCAATATTCCGTGCTGGCCCCTTTTCTCGAAGCTCAACTAAACAATTCAGGTGCCTCTTAGAGAGGAAGGCAATAAGGTTCCTGCTGGGCTTGTCTGCAGTGAATCCCAAAATCTTGTGCAAAGAAGGGAGGATTGACGTCTGCTCTAATTTTCTTTGTTCATTCTGTAGACTTCCCTGGACAGAACCTAAATTTCTTGAGGGACAGGATGGGGTTTTTGGCTTTGTATCCCCAGTGTGCAACAGATATACTGGTAGGGAGACAGGTGTTTATAAATTCCTGTTCACTTAAAATTGGGAGCTAAAATGCACCAGACCACCTTCGAGTGCCACAGACACAGGTATAGGTGATCCAGGTGATGTGATTAAGCCAAATTACTGGTTTAAAGTTAGACTGTGGTGTAGGGACCTTTATGATACAGCTTCTCATATCCTCACTTCCCCAATATAAAGGGATCAGTTAATGCAAGAAGTGGGGTGCTGATGTAGGACTTTTAAAACCTTCCCCATCTCCAGATTATCTGGTTGGTATGGGGAAGAATGTCAGCCTGTGGGATACCTCTAAAATTAGTAAAGACAGTGAGAAGTTACTTCCTGCAGTTGGGATAAGGCTCTTCTACTGGGCACTAGAGAAGACAGGCTTCAGCCGTTGATGTCACTGACTGGGTCAGGGTCAGGCCTTTCTAGAGCCACCCCGGGACCCCTGGGAAAACATGAGACAGAGACAGGTGAGTTCAGTGGGTTGAAGATTGGCTCCAACTGCCAATAGAGCTGTCTTAACACTGCTGCTTTCTGAACCCGTCCTATGAAGCAGAACAGGAGAAAAATAATCAGTAACACATTAGTCTCCTCACCAAACTTCTAGAACCCTCCACTGAGAAGGAATGGCAGATTAGTGGCACATAGAGACTGCCTGGAGCCGTCTGAGTTACCATCCGTGCTATCTAATTTGAATAAATCGGCATGGGCAAGAGAGTTTTAAAAAAAAAATGACTTGGAAAAATTATCCTATACAAATTTCTCTTGAGTGTGTAAATTGTTCTGTGATTGGTCCTCATCAAAACCCAGGGGCCGTGACAACTCAGAGTTCTGAGCGTATGGGTGTATGGCTCGACTCAGTAGGATCAGCATTAGTATCCAAGGCATCAGACGTTGCAGGGGTGGATTCTGCTGGTGACTCAAAGGGTCGCAGGTTTGCATAGGTCACTTCCTGGGCCAGCTGTTCCAAGGAGGGGCGACCCAGGATCAGATTTCGAAGAGAGATACAGGTCATCAGGAAGCTGAGAAGAGAGATAGAGGGTAGAGTGAGTCACTCTATGTCCATGAAACCCTTGGGAGTAAGTAGCCCATGGCATCCATGACCACAACAAACATGTCTAAATTACACAAGAATCCTCTCTCTGCTCTAGCTCTTAAGTCCAGTTGAGTGGGGAAGCTTGTACCACAGCACCTCAGAAGGCTTAGGAGGCCTCGGAACAGGTTGTGAATAATTTTTAGAGTTCGAGGAAAAGACCCACTTGCCACATTAAAGGTTCTGATCCCACTCCCACACTTCTCCCTCAAACTGAAGGGAAGAAAGAAGATCACTAGACTCAGGTTCTCCCCTTCCATGGGAGTACCATCCCATGACTACTCAACTAGACAACACAGAGATCATAGGGCAGAAACTCGGGACAAGGTGAGATGATGGGGGTGGTAGTAACCTTCGGCGGAAGATGTAGAGTTTGCGAAGCAGGAAGCGGGATAGCCTTTCATAAAAAGGGGAACTGCGCCGCCTCTGGATTTCCTGGAGACGCTGTTGTCTACGCAAGAAGGTCTGGACCAGAGGAGTTAACTCGGGTCCACCTTTCACTTCCCCCTCCAGCAAGGGGCGAAGCTCTGGAGGCAGTGGTCCAGATTCTGCCCAGGGAACAGGAAACAAGAACATCACTGGTATGGACAGGACAGCTGTCCCCTTCAAATTTATCTTCCGGCAGCTGGAAATAAAATCAGTCCCTCAATAGCCAGAGTTATTATCACCCTGTCATCTTGCAGCACTGTCCAGAGTCTGGGATACTGAAAAAAGACCTCAGTTCGCATCCTGGCTGTGTGACCCTGGGTGAGTCACCTCTGCCTCAGTTTCCTCAAGTATAAAATGAGGATAATAGCACCTTTCTCGCAGGATAGTTTTCAGGGTCAAATGAGACAGTATCTATAAAGTGCTTAGCACAGTGCCTGGCATGCTATATAAACGCTATCTATTACTCATTAACATCATCAGGTGCCCCTGTGCGCCGGGCACTCACTGTGCTAGGTGCTGGCAATTACAAAAAAAATAAAAACAGCCCTTGCTCCCTAAAGAGCTCATCATCCAATATTCTGTGGTGCTTAAACAGTAAACCCCTTTTAAACATGCCAAGAAGGGATCCAAGAAGGGATCCCCTCCACTGCTGCCAACCCCAGATCACACAGAAGCGATGGCAGTTTTATACCTGAAGGGGGCCCCAATGAGCTAACCCCTGGTAGAGAAAGCCTCACGGCAGCCTTGGATCTCAGGGGTCTAATGACTCACCACTCCCATTCTCTACTTTCTCCTTGAGTTCCTGTAACCGAGCCAAGTCTCGCTCCAACGCCAGCTCTGTGGTGTTGACAAAGATGTACATGTAACAAGACGGACTCTGGGACATCGTGTGCACCTTGTGATATTCACCAGCCGGCAACTGCCAAGGAGGAAGAGTGAGTGGCGGGGCATGCGTCCATCCTCCCCCTGCCCGCTCCTCAGAGCTTCTGCTTGGCTCTTGCTCTGGCCCCCCGTCACACCTCAAAGGTGGTGTGCTCAGCGCTCAGAATGCTGCTGCACACGCTCTTCCCTTGGGTCCAAGCTTCGTCTGGCCCTTCTGTCTGAGGGGACCTACCTGGACTCTGTCCCCTTCCTGAAGGGAGAGATTCCTCTGCTCCGCCACCAGCTCTACGGTCACTTGCCCCCGCAGGAGCTCGATGCTAGTATTGCCCAAGTCTTCACTCACAAAATTCTCCAGGTGTAACCCTGTCAGAGGCAGAGTTGATCATGCCCACCCCAGCCCTGGTCACCTGGGCCCCCACCCTGCCCCTCTCCCACACAAGAGCGGCACAAACTCTGCCCCCCACCCCCCACCTTCTCCATACCAGGGAAGTCAGCAATGAAGACCACCTCAGTGTGGTTGTCCAGGGTGCTCTCGATCTCCTGAAACTTCTCCCTCCAGGGAGATAAATCCAGCAACAAGGGCTGCAGCCAGGGCGTTGGGCGGAAGGGAGACCAGGCAGCTTGCACAATGTCCACTCGAGGGTCAAAAAGCCTGTGGGCAGAAAGGGTTACCTTCCAAAAGCCCATCCCCCATCCCACAGAGAAGCCCTGCCTCCTGGCCCTGTGTGGCTCCGGTGGGGAGGGAGGTCAGGGCCAGCCCTCGAGGGATGCTCCGTCTCTCCCTAGGTGCCCCCTGGAGGTGACACTGGACCACTCTGGCAGAGGCGAGCCCACGGAGCCACAGCCTTCCCTCCCATCCCCCTCTGCTGGCTGGCTGGCAGCCAGCCCACACACCTCTGCTGGAAGCGGTCATTGATGGAGACCCAGACGTCGAAGTAGATCTGGGGCTCGGAGACGTTGTAGCTGGGCAGCAGGCGATTCAGGCACAGGGCATACTGTTTCAGCATGTCCGCGTGGTCCTTCCATCGGCGACTCTGTGTGAACACCTGCCCCCGGCCCCCACGTTAATCTGGCAGCGAGGAGAAGAGTCATACTGCACGAAGAGGAAAGAACGACGAGAACCCAAGCTGTCCGCTTGGCCGAAGGGCCACCCCATCTGGGATGGAATGTTAAAGCTGGAAAGAAAGGGCCTGAGGGGTCCCCTGATTGAACCTGGACCTGAAATAGGAATTTAGCACCTGCTTGGACGACTCTGAGGAGAATTCACATCTCACAAAGTACCCCTGTCATTTCTGGACAAATCTGCTTATTAGGAATGTCTCATATTCCGAGCCAAAATCTACCTCCCCACAATTCCCACCTCTGTATTCTGCTTCTGCCCTTTGGAGACAAGAACATTAACCCCATCCCTTTTTCCATGTGAAAGGCCTTAAAATAGTTGAAAACAGTGGTTGTATTCCACCTAAATCTTATCTCTTACAGGGTAAACCTCCCCCGTTCCCTCACAACTGATGGTCCCATGCCATGATTTCACGTTCCCTCATCCTTCTGGTCCCTTCCTCTGGACATGCTCCAAGTGATCAAAGCCCTTCCTACAAGGTGGTGTTTGAGTTTCCCATCACTCCAGGTACAAGCAAACAAATGAGCACAGAGTACACTGGGACGATCAATTCCCTGGAAATAATCTGGACGCCAGATGATGTGAAGGAAGCCTGTACTGCACTAGCTTTACTTTGTGTCCACAACCCATTACTGGCTCACTAAGCCCACAGGTAGGTCCTTTCAGTGATCTGCTTTCCAGCCACATCTCCATGCTCCACCCCTGCCCCTCCCACCATCCCCATACCCTAATCTTGTGCAATTTTAAGATCCCAAATACTTTTCCCTTCATGGGGCGGGGTGGGCTGAGGCGCCAGACCAGGAAGGGAAGGATGTTAGGATTCAGGGGCTGTCTCTCACCCCAGGATTAAGGTAGCCTAATTCCCCAGTGCGGCCATCTCTATAGGTGATCTTGACGTGCTGGTGGGAGCGAGAGTGCACCATCATGTCCCAGGAGTAGCCATAGAGGCCATTGGTCCAGTTGTTGTAACCCTGCAAAGCGATTACAGGGAAATCACTCCTGTAGCGGGAGATGTGTGATGGGAATGGCTCTCCTGAGCCAAGGAGGGAGAGAGGCCGACTGACTCCCTTAGCACGCACGGCCTTCTCCGACCCAGCCAGGATGAGCTGGGGCCCATGATTCTTCCTGACATCACCACCCCCACCTGCCGGCCCTGTACCTGGGTAATAAAGTGGGAGTAGGGCAGGAAGAGCTGCTCCAGCAGATAGAGCAGCGTGAAGACAGCTCCCAGCCGATGCCGCAACCGGGCCCGGGAGCTGCCTTTGGCTCGGCCTCTCTTATAGATGCAGGACAAACTGGGCTGGGCGTCAGCTGTGCTTGGCAGCAGGCCTCGGAGCCACCGAGGACAGCAGGACACCCATCTCCGAGGCCAGTCGGGGGAGCAGAAGAGGGGGCTGCTGGCTAACATGACGAAGGGGAACATACCTAGCAGAACAAAGAAGAGTTCCGTCTGACACCTCTCCCCCCAACGTGCCAAGTCACTCCCCACAAAGCTCTGGACCTGGATCCAACTCAAAACCAGCCCAGACCCTGCCCAGGACCTTCATGTCCTCATGCCCAGTTCAGTCCCTCTCCATACCTGCTGCCTTTCTGTCTCTGCCCCCAGCACAGCCCTTCCACCCCCAAATGATGCCTCGGCATCACTGTGTCTGTTCCCACGGCCCCTGGTTTCCTTCAGACCCCAAGCACTAACCAATGCTGAAGAGCTGGGAATTCATACAGTGGAAGTAGGAGACAAACAGAAGGCCAATGGATCTTGAAGCATCAAAAAAGAGCAGGAAGCCGGCCAAGAGGTCTAACAGCAGCCCACACCAATGGACCACAAGCAGGCTGGTCATTCCCTCGGAGAGCACCAGCCTGTTGACACAGAGAGCAGGCTCCAGGCCACTGAGGGCAGAAGGGGCTCTGCCTTCTGCCCCCTAAGGAGAAAGGTCAAGTCACTAAGTACCCAGCGATGGGCAGAGGAGCTTGTGAAGAAACCCGCCTGCCCACCAAGACCGCCTCTGGGCCTGCTTTCTAGGCTACTCTCATTCCATGATACAACAGACATCCAAGAGCTCAATGCGGTGCCACCGACTGGCAGCGCGGGATGTCAAAATCAGAACAAAGTCTGATGAACGGAATCCAGGGTGTTCTGGAGGCTGGGAGGGAAGAGAGAGGGGCTTCTAAGGGAAATGACGGCTGGGACACCGAGGAGACACAGAACAGGGGGAGCGAGAAAAACAAGTTTGGAAAACAACGGAGCCGGGAACAAAAATGCAGAAGGAAAAATACGCAGAAGGAAAAATATGGATGAACCCTGACTCTGCTTTACAATCTATCTCTAGAGACAAGCAGCTCATAGAGAGCTGATGGGGTTCACCCACATGGCTGTGGAGGGCTGAGCAACCCGGGGACAGGAGGCCATTGTTTGAGACCTACTCTTTCTCCATTTCTCTCTCTCTTCTCTTCTCTCTCACTTTCTGCTCTCCTCCCCTCCCTTTCTTCTTTCTCTCCCTCTCTTCTTTCTCTCCCTCTCCTTCCTTCCTCTTCCTCCTCCTCTCCTTTTTCTTCTCTCTCCTTCCTTCCCTCTCCCCCCTTCTCTCCTCCCCTCCTTCCTCCTCTTTCTTCTCCCTTCCTCTCTCCTCCTCCTTCCCTTCTTCTTTCTTCTTTCTCTCCTTCCCTCCCTCCTTTTTCTCTCCCTTTTTCTCCCCCTTTTTCTCCCTCTTTTTCTCTCCCTTTTTCTTCTCTCTCTCCTCCCCGCCCTCCTTTGTCTCTACCACCCTATCTCCCTTCATTCTCTTCCTCATCTCTTTTTCTTTCTTCTTTTTATTTCCTTCCCTCCTCCCCGTGTCTCAGGCTTGCCAGTAGTGGCCACAGTCCTATCTGGTGGGCCCTACTGGTAACCCTCAGGAATAAAGATGGATGATTCTTGCCCTAGAGTGATTCCAAGGTCACAAAGAAGAGCAAGAGGAGACAAGGAAGCCAACGTGGAAAGCGGCAGTTATTTATCCCTGACTGGAGGGAAGCCAAAACGCCACCACCTCCCCCACAGCCGTGGCCCCTCCCCCAGCTCCCCACTCACTTGAAGGGGTCGAAGAGCCAGTGTCGGGACAGGGAGCCCATGGAATAGCCTCCAATCCAGTCTGCGTCGAGCTTTTTCACTCCCGCAATGAAATACACAATGAATATCTGCACAGGCAAAACCCAGGACTAAGGAACAAATGAGGACCTGACTCTGCCCTCGACAGTCAGTCAGGGGCTTCAAAGTTCACTGTCTGGGAGAGGATTGCCAGTTCTTCCTTTGAGATACACAAAACTTTCTCTTTTCCAGAGGAAGAAAGGAAGATTTCGGCAAGAGCTGAGTGGGCCGGCCAACCTACATTTGGTCTACCCTCCCTGCACAGGGAGAAAAGGCAGTCCCCTGGCTGGTCTCCATGTCTGTGGTCTCCTCTCTCCAGTCCATCTTTCACAGAGCGGCCAAACAGAGCCAAAGCCTGCATGGCCAGTCACGTGTCGGCTCCCCGGTGCCTCCGAGATGAAACGTGGGCTGCTCTGTTTGGCTCTTCCAGCCCGTCACAATCGGGGTCCAAGCCTTCCAGACTTGCAGTCCATTCCTCCTCATGCCGCAGGCCAGTCCAACTTGTCTGCCTGCCACCCCCGTGCAGGACCTTCCATCCCACACCTGTGCCCCACAAGCATTCCCTCTTTGCCTCTGCCTCCAGATTAAACTCAAGGGCCATCTCTGACAGGAAGGGGATCCCTGGAAACTACTTTGAACATTGTTAATGGACTTATCTGTGTATACATTCCAATGGAATGTAGCTCCTTGAGGGAAGGGACTGCTTTGCTTTATCTTTGTACCAATCAATCAGTATTTATGAAGCACCTACTGTGCGCCAGGCCCTGTGACAGATGCTGGAGACACAAGTCCAACAAATGAAAGAATCCCTTCTTGTTAGGAGCTTACTCTCCAGTTGTATATTTACATATCTGAACACACAAGTAAATAATACAAACATACACGCTGAATTTCTCTCCTATACACACACAAATCTGCTTCCATACATACATCTACAGTTAGGTGTGCATGTGTGGGGGTAGCGTGGCAGGTAAGGTGACCAGAAAAGGCTTCTGGCAGACAACGAGATGGCAGCTGGGACTTCGAGAGAGAGAGTCTACAAAGCAGAGATGAGAAGAGAGTGGATTCCAGCCACGTGGGCCAGACAGTACAAAGCAGGGAGGCCGGAGATGAAGCCTGAGGACCAGAGAGAAGCCAGTGTGGCTGCACTACAGAGCATGAGAAGAGATTAACCTTCTCTCAGCCTCCAGTGAGGCTGAGAAGAGGGGCTGGGGCCAGAACCTGGAGGGCTTTCAATGCTAAATGGAGCTTTCCTTTTATCCTGGATGGACCAAACTGCAGAGTCACATCCTTCCTCAGGCAACGAGCGGGCATGTACAGTGGCTGGAGTGGTGGAGATACTGGAGGCAGGGGGAGGAGGGAAGGGTTTTAAGGCCTGAACAAAGGGGATTAGGACAGAAGAGGCCAGATGCAGGAGGCGCTGGGAAGGGGGAGGAGCAAATGGCAGCTGATGGGAAGTGGGGGCTGAGGGATAGTACAGAGCCCAGGATAATGGAGAGGTTATGAACCTGGGAAACAAGAAGGGTAAGGAAGCCTTCGAAACAAACGGGGAACTCTGGAAGAGGGAAGGGCTTCGGCACAAAGAGGAGGAGTTCAATTTTGGACTCAGGTTTTATGGAGTTTAAGATGTCTCTGAAACATCCAGTCTGAAATGCCCAAAAGGCAGTTGGGGATGCAAGACTGAAGCTCAAGGACAGATTTGGGAGTCATCTGCCTAGAAATGACAGTTAAACCCATGGGAGGGATGATGTTAGAGAAAGAGAGAGAGACAGACAGAGACAGTGATGGGGTCTGTGGGGAGTGCGGACAGGGAGGGGAGGAGAGGACAGGATAGCAGAGGAGGAATAAGCAAAGAGGGCCCAGGATGGAACCTTTGTATCCCCAGGCACACACGATTCCCGGCCCAGAGAAGGTGATGAAATGGGCTCGTAGCGGGAGGGAGCAGCAGCAGCTGTGGTGGCCCCAGTGAGTCCAACGTACCTGTCCACGCAGCACTGTGTAGTTCCAAAGTGGAACGTGGGCGTTCCTCTTAGAGGGATTTCTGAAGCCATCCAGCGACCTGTGCTCAGAGGAAACCAGTAAAGGTGAGGGGATACCACGCTCTGTCCAGTTCTATACCTAGGATCTAATTCTCTCCCTTTCTCTGCCCTGCTTACTCCAAGGATGCCCCCATCTCCCCCTGTTTTCTCTGTGCTTGGGAACTTAGTATCCAAAGCCCCTTCATCAGGGGCAGCTAGGTGGTGCAGTAGATACAGCACCAGCCCTGAAGTTAGGAAGTCGTGAGTTCAAATCCGGCCTCAGATCAAACACTTGACACTTACTAGCTGTGTGACCCTGGGCAAATCACTTAACCCCAATTACCTAAAAAAAAAAAAGAAAAAACAAACCAAAAAAACCAAAGCCCTTTTATCATAAAATCGTAGACCTGGTCCCACCCAGTACATCAGCCTCTTAGACAAACAGTCACGTGGCTTCTTTTTGAAGACTTCCAGGGACAGAGAGCTCACTACCTCTTTAAAGACCTCATTCTATTGCTGAACAGCAATGTTCTCTCACATTGAGATGAAATCTGTCACTTCTGTGATCTAGAACAACCCTTAAAATATCTGAAGAGAGCAATCACGTCTACCCCCAGTCTCCTCTTGAGACGGAACTCCATAAAGCGACTAGAACAATGTCCCTGTGGGGCCCAGAGGGCAACTGGGAGGGAATGGAGCGTCTCTCTCCATTTCCAGGGACAGCCTTCGGAAGCCACTGAAACTACAGCTTGAATTTTCAAGTCTGTCCTGCACAGCAGAGTTAGAATTGTGCTTCAGATGCCTGGGCTGCCCGACCTGCCACCCCCAACCTATCCCGTTCCACCCACCCCCTGGACCACCTCGTACCAGTAGCGGTTGGCATCCATGAAGGACAGCTGGAAAGCCAACAGTCCATACAGGTAGGAATGGTTGTTCCACGAGGTCTTGTCCAGCAGAAACACGTACCAGTAGGGCAGCAGGAACAGTAGGCAGCTCAGGCGGTACCACAGCCCCAGCATCATGCCCAGTGCCCCTGGGGTTAAGTTGTGGGGGGAAGGATGTTAGGGAAGAGTCCTGGTATCAGACGGCCCCGCTCAGCTGCTCCCAGCATCAACCCCAAGGCCTGGCAGTGCCGGAGGTGAGTGCAAATTCAAGGAGAGGTCCCCCGAGGTCCAGCCACTCCCCGGCATGCTGCCTGGGTCCTATCTCTACCCAAGTTATTTTCTGCGGCTCTCCATCCCACCATTCTCCTCACCCAGAAACATGATGGTGTAGACCAGGTACATCCAGTCAAGCGGCAGTGGACGCAGAGCATCTATCAAGGGAAAGCGGCACACCTCAAGCCCGTCCAGGTATCTGTGGTCCAAGAAGCTAAGACCTCGCTCCTGGGGAATGTCCAGCACCATCAGCAGCCCTAGAAAGGTGGTGTTCAGGAGGGTCAATAATAACTACTGAGATTTATATAGCACCTACTATGTGCTAGGGGCAGCTAGGTAGTGTGGTGGATAGAGTGCCAGGAAGACCTGAGTTCAAATCAACCTTAGACGCTTACTAGCTGTGTGACCCTGGGCAAGTCACTTAACCCTGTTTGCCTCAGTTTGCTCACCTGTACAATGAGCTGGAGAAGCAAATGGCAAACCATTCTAGTATCTCTGCCCCAATAAAACCCAAATGGGGTCACAAACAGTCAGACACAACTGAACAACAATGTACCAAGTGATTGACAATTATTATCTCATTTGATCCACGCACCAACCTTGGAGGCAGGTTGTTTTTACAATTGAGTAAACTGTGGCAAAGAGAGGTTAAGTGACTTGCCCACGGTGACACAGCCAGTATGTGTCTGAAGCCAGAACTAAACACAGGTTTTTCTAACTCGGGGCCCTGCATTCCATTCACTGTACCATCTGGATGCTGTTCTTGTATTTTTACAAGGGGGTAAGTCATGGCTTGATGCATTTGGGAAACCTTCCTAGTCTGAACAAATGATGGTATGTGAAGTAATGCTTTACTATTGCGCTTTTAAGAAATGACAGGGGCAACTAGGTGGCACAGCAGATAAGAGTATCAGCCCTGGAGTCACGAGGACCTGAGTTCAAATCCGGCCTCAGACACTTGACATTTACCAGTTGTGCAACCTTAGGCAAGTCACATAACCCCATTGCCTAGCCAAAAAGAGTTACAAAAAGGATGGAGAGAGCTGGGAAGATTGGTATGAACTGATGCAGAGCAAAGTGAGCAGACCCAGGAGAACAACTTGTACCATAATAGCACGATAAAGAAAAACGGCTCTGAAAGAAAGACTCAAGACCTCTGATCAATGCAATGGCCAACTTCAATTCCTACAGACAGACTTGGTAAAGCACATTATCTACTCCTGGACAGACAGGGAAGGGACTCATGATGCAGAAGAAGGTGTATATTTTCAGATATCACAAATGTGGAAATTTATTTTGCTTGAATATGTATGTTCATCACAAGGTTTTAATTTTTTTCAGTGGGGGAGATGGAAGGAAGGAGGAGGCTTATGGAGCTAGAGTTACCAAAAAAGAAAGAAAAGGGAGAAAAGGGAAGGTAAGGATAGAAGGAAGAGGAAGAGAAGAGGGAGGGAAGAGGAAAGGGAAGGATGGAAGGAAAGGGGAAGGGGAGAGGAGGGAAAAAAGAGGGTCAATGAGGCAATTTTTTAAATGCGCAAAAGAGAACTGGGAGGCCAGAAAGAATCACATGACAAGCAGAACAGCTTTCAGAGTTATATGATGAATTTATTATATATTTTAAAAGAAAAAAGCTGTACATAATAAGAGATTTGGAGTCTCACATACAATGTTCTTTTTCTGTTCTATTATGTACATGAAAAAGCTCTTTTTATTTGGTACTTGTTAAGTGCAGAATAAAATAATAAAAAATCTGCTGAGTGTGATGGGACTCTTTCCCGCCTTCTCTGGGTAGGTCATTCCATGTGAGGTCCAGAGAAGAGTGGGCAGAATCTCAGCTAGGCTGCCATCCACCCAGTTACTTATTATTCTAGCTCAGAGAGAGAATCTTCCCAATACTCCCACTGTTTGCTTTCCTTGAGGTCAGAGTTCTCTTGGTCACCAAACTAGGGCACACTGGACACAGAGCCACCAAGGCTCCCACATGCCCTGGGAATCTCTCCATTACATGTAAAGGATGTAGGCAGAGGGAGGGTCAAGGCCACGCTCCCCTCCTTTCTACCCCCACGTGGACTCACCAAAGAGGAACCGGAAGACTCCAAGGCTTGCAGGGTCAGTTGGTCGATTCAGGAGGGTCACCAGCCTCTGCCAGCTCGACACGTGGGACCATTCAAAGCCAAACAGCTTAACCATTCGGCTGACCTGCTGGGGTCCCGGGGTCTGCCCAGCCTTGTTCTTCTGAGGAAGCCCTGCAGCCAGAGGAGTGGAAAAACAGCCCAAGGGGGTCTTTTCAGAAGGAGGGCTCCCCCTCAAACCACTGACCTCTTCCAGGCCGGGGGAGGTGGGGGAGGTCTTCCCCCAAACCCCTGGTGCCTCTCTCTGAGAAGGGAAACTCTCCCTTTAGAATACCAGTCTCCCTCCCAACCACCCCTCTTCTGCCCTAGGAGTTTCCCCCTCAAACCACTGGTCACTTCCAGACCAGGTGTCTCCTTTTCAAAGCACCTTTCTCTTTCACTCTGGGGCAGAACTCCCCTTCAAATCACTAGCCCCTCCAATGCAGGTGAGGCTCTCCCTCACCAAGGGTCCCCCCACCTCCTGAGGCTCCCAACCACTATTCCCCCTCCTGTAGACTTC